CACCAATTTCCAAGAGATTCAATAACAAGGCTCGCCCAATATATACATCATGTCGTCACACTAAGCACAAGCAAGTATCAAGAAGGGCTAACGCCCTGTATCAAGAAGGGTCAAAGCCCAATAATCAAGAGAACCAAGAACCATATTAAAAATGGCTTTTTAGTTCGTACTTAAAAATGGACAACTTCCATTCATAAGACGGACTAAAAATCCAGAGTCAAGATGGCAAATGATCCGAATCAAGAGGCATGCCAAGAGTGACAAAGTCACAGCCACAAGAAAGACAAGGTCCCAACAAGAGTGCTAGGTGATCAAACAATCTGTACAAGTGGGCGAGTTACATGATTGTCTTTAACGTCTTAAAGGATACCAACATGAAAATGCAAAGTGACAAGAGGTAGCCAAGGTACCAAGATCAAATTTCAAATATTCCAGCAGTTAAAAGAATGCAAGTACAAGTTTATACACAAACTCAGTGCTTTAGCAAAGAATCCGTCCAACACAACTTTGCTAGTTCAGACAATAGACCAACCAACGTTTCAAGGTCCTCAACTTGTTCACGAGTATATACAACCTTAAAATACAATTAAATAAACTCTTTAACTTCTATTAGCTCAGTAATGTTGACGTAAAATAGGATCATCATCACAAGTAAGCCTAACATGTACAAATACAACTATGCTCCCAAAACAGTGAATCTGTCCAGCCTGGTACCTCAAGTCGCAAGTTTGATTTGAAAAGGAAAATGGCAAAACTAGACTTTATAACCTTCATGAAAGATGTAGGTACATCTCTAAAGGTTGCAAATAAACAAGAATCACTGCAAAATATATTTTGTACAAAAAGATATATTCAAAAACACTATAGCTGATCATACGGGATTTCAATTTCCGAAACTTGGGCAGAACTTGCCCAATGTTGCGTCCCATATTTCGTGTCCATAACAGTTAAATTAGAGTCTTACATAAACATAAGAGTTGTAGGTATACGGGTTAGCTTTCCAAATCATATTTATTCATTGTAAACGAAGTTCTAGAGAACAAGATATGCATAAAATACCAAACACTATCCAGCTCAGAAACAGATTTCGTCACTTACATATGAAAAGAATGCCATAGCCTATCGATTTATATTCAACATAGCTTTTCATTTATCAAGAAGAACACCTAAATCTACCAAGTCAAGAGATGACATTCAACAATATAAGGCACTTCACATTCCATCATCTTCATTCATAAGTGTTAAGAGAGAACATACTTTAACTCACAATGCTATCCACTTTACATATGATCATCACAAGATCACATAAAACTCATTCACATCATACCTTCACATAAAACTTTACATATAGCTTCATATAGGACTTACATATAGCCTCATATGTGTATAATAATACAACAATATAATAACATTCATATAATGCCCTTCATGGCCTCAATTCACATTAACACAACAAATAACCACCTCCACCAAAGGTGGATCAAACCAACCAACAACAATTATATCAATACTAAGAGATTAAGCCATCTTACCATTCTCCAAAGCCATAACCAACATTACTCAATTCCCTACTAATTCAACATTATTCATAAAGTAAGTCAACTTACCATCCTTTCCAAGCCACCTTCACCATTCTATGATCAAACAATTCACAATAGAAAGCATAGGTAATCATGGTATTCAACTATACCATTTAAGCTAAGCATAAGCCCATAATCAACATGAATACAAATTCACAATTTTTTGCCCATTCAAGGCCGACATCCTACATCCTTCAATTCAATAAAAATTCTTAACAATTCACATATATAATACCATATATGAACAGCCCATACCATACTAACACGATTTTTATAATCATCTATTCAAAATCAATACACCCACTTTATGGTGAAATTTAGAGAATTTGAAAAAAATGGGTTCAATGAGATTTCTTTATGAAAACCATTAATAATCATTAATAACTATATAAATCATCATTTAAAACCTTTTTTATGCAAGAACCCATGCTAGAATCGAAATTAGGGCTTTAGGATTTTTGAAGAACATTGAAAATACTTTGAATTAGCTCTTTGATTGAAAAAGGAATCAAAGATAAAGAGTCCCCATACCTTAACTAAGAATCCCCAAGCAATTTGAGAAAGAACCACCTTAAAATCGTCAAACCCTAGCTCCTAGTTCTTGACCTTCTTCAATGGAAGATTGTAGAGAAAGATATTTGAGAGGAGGTGAGTTTCTTTCTTTATTCTAATTGAAGTGACTTAAATGAAAGAATTTTGGTGGAAAATGGGCTTTATAATTGCTAGGAAAGGCAAAGAATAATAAGAACTCAACTTAGGAAAAGAATTAAGGACCCACAAAGTTATACTTAAAAGTGTTCACTAAACCCGTCTAAACTCGTCCTTTTGGACAGTGCTTCACTATTTTGGGCATAACTTTTTACTCCAAGGTCGGAATTGGGCAAACTCGGTGGCGTTGGAAAGAGGACTCAGAGACCTTTAATTGGATATGTAAAGGTCCACCTAATTCATTTTGAACTAAAAGATATGATCATATAAAGTTGACCCTTACAACTCACTAGTTCAAATGACTAGTTTACAGACGTCACGGTCATTTCTCATCATTTCGTCAAGTTCTCAACTCCAAACTCACATGTGAGGCTCTAGTTTCACTAGTTCGTTTTTAGGGTCATTACAAGACCAATTATAAAAGTGATTAAAGTGACCCACTATTAATTTTAATGTTATTTTCTTTAACCATCAATTAAATAAATTATTAAAACTACCTCATTAATTTTATAATTATAGTTATGAATAGTCCAAAATACTCATTTAAAATCTATCGAAAAAGTCTTTTATGCAATAAAAATTTCTAGTACTCAAAACGACCAAATGGGTCGTTACAACTTAATATAGTTTTGAAAATATTTTTAAATTATTCAATAAATTTTTCACTGGTATCAGAGCTGGAATTTATTTTTGTTGTAAAATATTTTCTCTAAAATAATGTTTATCATTATGGTCTGTTGATTAGTTTTATTTGAAAGAAATTATAAATTGAGAATTGCTAATTGTTTCTCTAAAATATATATGTTTTTTGCATTCACAATTTGCCCTTTTTTAAAAATTTTATTTTGAAAGTTTAATTTCATGTAAAGTTGAAGTAGGTATGTGCAAGCTTTCCTATAATTTTTGTAGTTCCTGTAACTTTACCATCCTTATTTTTATATTAACTAATAACTAATGTTAGTTTATCTACAATTTATTGTGTTTATATCTGACAAGTTTTTTTTCGCTATTATTATGTCTGTGATGTGAATAAATCGAAGAATGATTGAGAAAGTTAATTTTGTTTTAAATAATTGATGAATGTCTATTGTACCACTTTTGTGCCTATAAAAGGCATTGTAACTTATATAGAAACTAGATAAGGGTGCCCGTGCAAGGCACGGGCAATATTAATTAGCTTTACGTGGCCATTTTTGATTGGTTTGGTAGTATTTGAGAGCAAAAAAAAAGTGCTAAAAGAAAGAAATATTAATTAGCCCTACGTGGCCATTTTTGATTGGTTTGGTAGTATTTGAGAGCAAAAAAAAAGTGCTAAAAGAAAGAAATATTAATTAGCCCTACGTGGCCATTTTTGATTGGTTTGGTAGTATTTGAGAGCAAAAAAAAAGTGCTAAAAGAAAGAAATATTAATTAGCCCTACGTGGCCATTTTTGATTGGTTTGGTAGTATTTGAGAGCAAAAAAAAAGTGCTAAAAGAAAGAAATATTAATTAGCCCTACGTGGCCATTTTTGATTGGTTTGGTAGTATTTGAGAGCAAAAAAAAAGTGCTAAAAGAAAGAAATATTAATTAGCCCTACGTGGCCATTTTTGATTGGTTTGGTAGTAGTTGAGGAACCACCACTTATATAGTATGATGATGTGAAATAATATAATATAATATATATATATATATATATATATATATATAGTAAGTAAAAAATAATAATAAGATAGATAGAAGTAGAATAGAAAATAGAATATAATAGAAAGAAATAGAAAGTAGAAATAGAAAATATTATACAAAAGAAAGAAATATTAATTAGCCCTACGTGGCCATTTTTGATTGGTTTGGTAGTAGTTGAGGAACCACCACTTATATAGTATGATTATACACAAAAATAAGAAAGAAAAAAGTTTCCTATTTTATCTCTCTAGTAAATTATTTCTTCTTGGTTGTTATTAGTTCAATTTTAGCATTCAGTCTTTATTTTATAACATATTATCAGCACAAACTTTGTCATCTCAAAGTTTGAAGAATAAATTTGAAGGCTAAAGTATTATATTTTTCTTCTCTTTATTATGGTTTGTTATACCCCATTTTAACTCGCGATCAAAAAATGTACAACGTATTGGTGATTTCTAAATTATTAACTAACTTAAGAAGTCGCCACTTAATTAATTACAGTGAATTAGGGCACCTAAAACGATTAAGTTATTGTCTAAAATTAACTTCATTTTAAGGTCTACTAAACATGAGATTCTATGTAAGAGTTCTAGTTATCCTAAAGGGAAGGGGTAAGACATCTTTTAAGATCTGTTGAAAAACAGTTAACCGGGCAAAACTTAGGTTAATTAATTTTAAAAAAATATATGAGTGATAAAGATTAAGTAATTGAGTAACCAAGTTGGAATTTTTTTTTATTTTAAAAGCTCTTTTGCAATTGTATTAGAATGAAAAATATTTAAGAAAGTGTATTTTCTTTAGATCAATTTAGAAAAATCCATGGCTAAAAAAGGTAATTAAAAAAAATAGACATTTACTCATTGATTGACAAAGTGCTTCCTTTAGAAAAAGTTTTAGAAAAATAAGTGTTTAGAACAATTTTTTTTTTTTTTAAAGACATTGTCAAGTTGAACAAAACTTAATAAATCTAGCAGGTTTAAAAATGGTGCAAAAAGAAGTGTTTTAAAAAGATTTTGCCAAATGAAGTTTATAAAAGCTGAAATAATTATAAAGGTTTGTTTCTAACTAAAAAGGTACCCAAACTCAAACATCTATATTATGTCAACTATTATGAAACAAGAAATTAACACATATCCAAAACACATTAGAAAGTTAAAATAAATAAATGCTAAATAGTAATAAGTAAAAGCGACCCCCAAATGATTTTTGTTGTCATTTTGGATAGTCTGGGTTGTCGAATTCATGTATGGGTATGATGGTGTCGAGTCCATGAGACTCTAATTTTGCGAGAGTCCTTAATTGAGACTCCATTTTTGCTCTAAAGTGTTCATGCAAATAAAGAAAGAATAAAGAGATTCGTGATGTGAATCCACTTTAAGACTATATCGAATAAACCAAACATGAAACCTAGTAAAGTCGTACAACCAAGATACTATCCGAAATGGAAAATATGCAAGCATAGGATAAGCCAACTTATTAACAGAACTCAAAGTAACTAGCCTACAAGATAAATCTAATTCTCAAGTTTATCCAATTTAATCTATAACGAAGTTACATTTTAAGGCAAGAAGATAATTAAAACAAGTAATTTATTTAAAACTTATAAGAAAGACTTAAATACATATACTATATATGTTGACATAATAGGAAAGAAACTTAAAAACTCACATTTTTAAAAATAACATATTCAGAGATTTACATGCCATTTATTTAGAAAAATTGAAGGAAGCTTATGTACACATATTTGCTAAAAAATAATAGGAAAGAAGTTTAAAAATTCACAAGTTATTGACAGTATATTTTTCATTCAACAAAGGGAACACATAGAAGCATCATAACCTAAAATCGCTTACCAGATAAGGATACCAAATGCCAAGGAAAACATTTTCATCACGATGACAAAGAAAACAGAGGAAAAGAGGAACACGTAACAAGTCGGATATCGAAATACAAAGTTTAGGACATAATTTAGTAAAAAGCTATACTCCGACAAACATAAACGAAGCAATACATATTTTATAAGCTTAACATTATCTCAAAACAAAGGGAAATATATTTGGTTAACATCACTTAAGTATGCTGATAAGTATTTTACTCATTTGTCAAACTTCAAGCAGAGCATAGTTTTCAAAGAGTTTACTACCTAAAAATGAGTCTTGGAAACATGATTTCTAAAAAATAAAATAAAACAATCTTCAAAATACTTTAACATCTGATTTTGACAAAAGCAATGAACAAATAGTGAATATTAAAATCAAAGATCAACTAATTAAGTTACATTCATTCATCATGATGCCAAAAATACAAAAGTGCTGAAATGAAACTAATAGTAAGTCCATAACACATTAAAACACAAATTCGTTCATATCTCACGGAAATAAAAAAAAGAAACTAGATGTCATTGACCTATTTTGGGGCAGTGAACTGGGGGCATTTTCGGTCGAAGATATGCTCGAATATGAAGACGAGGTTAAACCCGTTCAAATCCAAAATTGCAGCAACAAAATGAAGAACAAAACTTTAAAACTAGGTGTGATAGCTTCAAAGCTTTTAGGGTAGACGAGTAGCTGAAAATCTTATCCTCAATTTGACTCCAAATACAAGTATTTATAGGGAGAAAAATAGAGTTCATGAGCGGGAATTTGAATTTTTTAAATTGGTAAAAAAAACCTTCAAATCCAAACGTTGGAAACCCTTAGGATAAGATTTGCAGGAGCCACGTGATTGAGAGGAGTTGGCGTGAAGATGGAGTACCTACCCTCTACTTATTGTTGACAAAATACGCTACTTTTCCAGAAAAAATGAAAGAGGAGACATGATGTGCGACTGCTAAGGGAAAAGACAGGAGATTGAAACCTTAAGATACTTGGATAACTTTAAAAATAAGATTAGTTGGGCTGTTGTGTTTTTAGGCCTCCAATTGGGGTTTTTTTTGGATAAATTTAGTATCCCCAAAGGCTGAATAATTTTTGGGTCTCAAATTGAATCTTCTTCAACAAATTTTGTGTCTCAATTGGCTGAAATAGTTTTTGGGTCTTTCATTCTTTAAAACAATTCTTCCGAGCTTCTAATTTAATAACTAACATAACATATAATTGGTATGTAGAAAAAAATAAAAATGTTAATATTATAAATTTTCGCTAATAATTTAGAGAAATATTAACTTGTGACTAATTTAATAAGTAAGAAACTGAAATAGGATGACGACAATCGATTATTAAAAAAAGGTGATAGTATAATTTTACATATAATTTTAGTAGTAATAGAATTATGACATAACGATAACAAAATTAATGATAAATAGTCGTTGTAGTAAGAATAGTATATGAAGAAAAATAATTTGCTACATTATTAATTTAGAAGCTCGAAAACAATAAATTAGAAGAAATGAGGGTCAAAATTGGGTGTCAACAACTTGTCCCTCTTTGACCAGAAACGATGTAAGAGTTTTTGGGCAAAGAAATTGACGTAGTAGCCAATTTTGTCCCGACCAACGCAGCTTTATGAAAAATATGAGAATATTTTGATGTGAAAATTTATATATATCCCGAACTGTGGGACATAGGTTGAGTAGTGTTCGAGAGTAGATCCTTGACCATTGTTGGTGAACTTGATTCTCCAACAAATTGCCCCAGTCCACTGCTTAGAAATAGTTTCACGTTGTGCCAAGACCCCTGCAAAACTTAAGCTTGATAAGATAATTAGTAAGTAAATATTAAATATAAAGCATGGTGCAATAAACACATGGAAATAACACCTCATGGGTGTGAATTTATGAAAAATGTGGCCTTGCAAGTCGAAATGATTTAATGAGATAAAATCTTACAAAGTTTATGGAAAGGGGGTTTAAGGCTGATGAGACATGAGAATGGTGCTTTGCAGCGATGATTAATGAGAATGAAGCCTTAACCCAAAAAATACAGCCTTTTAAGCTGATGATTTATGAAATGAAGTTTTTGAAGGTAATGCATTTTGTAAAGTGTTTGTGCAGTGCATTTGAGAATATGCATTCGTGTGAAACATATGAAAGCATTTGCGCGGTGCATTTTAGAATATCTGAAAGCATTGTGCGGTGTATTTGAAAATATTTGAAAGCATTTATGCGGAACATCTGAAAGCATTAGTGCGGTGCATTTGAAAATATCTCGAAACATTTGTCCAGTGCGCTTGAAAATATTTGAAAGCATTAATGCGGTGCATTTAAAGGTATTTATGCAGAGCAAAACTGTATGCAATGTGTTTAAATAATATTTGTGTATCAACACATTTTAAAACCTTTGTAAAGCTTTACTTATAAGTTTTTGAATCATAAATTTATAAGTAAGTAATTCAAACCACTCGGTATACAGTCTTTTCGATTCTATAGACGTTATTGACTTCTCAGCTCCTGTTAATCCTGACAAACATGCACTCAAAGAAACATTATAAGTTTTGGGGGAGGTTGATTCGCGTTGACTTTGAAGGTCTGGCTCTTCATACTTCTTGCTTCCAGCTTTGCTTGACTTGTAACTTTTGTCTATCCTAAATCTTGGTTAATGAATAACAATGGAAATAAATAACAAGAAAACATTTGATTGAACATCATATTTAAAAATAAGATAAAATTATATACGTGTATATATAATAATAAAGAATTTATGTCGAACTTCAAATTGTGACATGTCGTGAAACAAAACGAACGTCCTTTATCTGAAGTCTTTCTTCTGTCGGATGATTTGATTGACCATATACTCTTCAAATCTCTTGATATCAACTTGCAATGACTCCCTTAAAAACTGTCCCAGTTTTTGGCAAAAGAGATATGTTGTCCTTTGGTCACGATGATATTGAACCTTCTATAGGCTGCACACTATTCTTTCAAGAGCATCCAGCCAAACATAACCTAAGTATCCCACCATGGAATCAGGTCAAGGCGTAGTTCCAATACATGACAAAAGATTACATGAAAATGAAATAAAAACTTCTAGATGTAGTATCTCTTAACCGCATCTGCATTGATGGCTTTCGACCATATCTTACTATCCATTTCTGCTAGAATCAAAGCTCATCCAGTCAGTACTCGGTGAACCATGTAAGGTCCTTGCCAATTAGATGCAAACTTCTCCTTAGCCTCATTTTGGAGTAGAAATATTCTCTTCAACACCAATTGTCCCGGTTCAAACTGTCTCAATCTTACTTTCTTGTTGAAAGCTTTTGTAACACCATGTATCCGAAAACAGACCTTAAAACAGATTTCCAGAAGTTGCAAGTGCAACTCACAGACACCACCCACGGACCGTAGGGTGACCCACGGCCCGTGCTGGTGGTCCGTGGTTTGCATCAGCAACCTCCCTCAAAACTCATCCCCAAAATTCGTCTAAGGGTTGACACACGACCGGACCCACGGACCATGGTCCGCATCCGTGGATCAGAGCCCCAGAAACCAGCCTCTAGTACTGATCAACGGTTGACCAGCACGGACCGTCAGTCGATCGACGGTCCGTCGGTCACCCCGACAACAGTTAAGTCGGGGTCTTTTGGTCTTTTCGTATTTTGTTGGACCCCTAAACTACGTGGTTTTGGTTAGTTTTAGCCTAGAAGCATAACTAGAACTTACCTAAGTCAAATCATTCATCAAAACTTAGAAAGTTAGAACGCTAAGAGGAGAAAGAAGTCAAGAACACTAGTTCAAGAACGCAACTAGGATCCATCAGTTCCAGCATGGAAATCGAAAATTTTCTCCGTGGAATTTGTCACCAGGTATGTGGGATTTCACTAGTGGGTTCCTTTTGCCCATTAGGTCCTTAGAATTCAGTCAGATTCTTGATTCCCCATTATTTACTAGACCTAGGAATTTTAGAACTTCAGTAGATTATCATAAACTAGTTAATTTAATGTTCCAAATCAGATTACCATGTTATTACTTAGTTTCTCATATGATATTCATAACCCTAGTTGTATATATTTGTTAGTTCATGAATTATGCATGCTAGGTTAGATTATTCAGTTATTACAGATATACCTATGCTTCAGTTTACGAATGTCACACTATCAGTCATAATTGTTGCATTCTCAGTTTGCATGTTAGTTTTAATCTATCTAGTTATTACAGAAATTTAGTCTTAATGTGTTAAATCATTTAATCTATTGGGAGTAGCATAATACTGAGTTGGACTAGGGTCAGTCACGTATATAGTTCCAGAACTACGAGCCACATAGGTTTTTAAGTCCTCTCTGTGGGAATCATTTTAGTGATCACACCAGCATGCCTCTATACCTTTGGCCGGGTGTATTGGGTCCTCTCGATGGGGCTTATACATGGGACTCCACATTTAGCTCATGTGGTTTTATGTCAGTTATTAGTAGCTCTCACAGTTCAATCAGACTCCATTGCATTGACCTCATTTCAGTTAAGTCAGTATTCAGTCTTAGCATGTTATAAATTTGGTCATTGCATTCAGTTAGCTCAGTATTCAGTATCTATATCATGTTCAGATTATACTCTTGCTTGTTCAGTTATATGTTATTTCATCTTTACTCTATCTTACATGCTTAGTACCTTTCAAGTATTGACACATATTCTGTGCTGCATCTTCTCATGATGTAGATTCAGGTCCTCAATAGTAGATCTCGCATCGATCGGTTACCGATCTTTAGATCAGTAGTATCAGTGGTGAGTCCTCATTCTTCGAGGATAGTAGTCAAGTTATTTACTTCAGTATTTCAGTCTTTTAGTTTCAGTTTTGCAAGATATAGTTGGGGCAATATCCTAGCACTTCTAGTCAGTTAGAGGTCATTTTCAGACATAGTTAAATTCAGCTTAGTATTGGAGTTTGATATTTCTCTTATATTAAAACTCTCTGATTGATATATTCAGTTCTAGAATGGGTATTCCCCATCATTCTTGTTTTCATGATATTTAAGCTTCCGCATCAGTTGTTATTATTCTTAGTGTGCTCATGTCATGCCAGCATGGTTAGCTTGGGGTCACTTGTGATCCTAGGTCCCGTGTTCGCATCTCGGGGGTAGCTCGGGGTGTGACAAACTTGGTATCAAAGCACTAGGTTTAAGTGTCCTAGGATGTCTGAAAAGCCGCGCTAGGCCCTTTTCATGGGTGTGTAGTGCGCACCATATCTAATAAGAGAGAGGCTACACAGTGATTTAGGAAAAATCTTCATTTTCTTGTTACTCTTATCGTGCGTAAGGTATGATCTAATTCCATTCCAACTCGACGTTCTACGTTTCAGAGATCATGCCTCCTCGTAGAGCTAACGCCAGGAATGCGAATGCCAGGAACGTAAATGCAGCTCATCCAGTCCCAGATCAAGAAGTTTCGAATGCAGAGTTCTGGAACACCATTCAGATATTGGCTCAGAGTGTGACCAACCAAAACAATCAGTGGATTCCAGTTCCGATAGATGCTAATGTTGGGTCAGCTGTAGCCAGAGTGCGAGATTTTGTTAGGATGAATCCGCCAGAGTTCTTAGGATCGCAGATTAGTGAGGATCCGTAAAACTTCATTGATGAGGTGAAGAAGAACTTTAAAGTGATGTAGGTAACTGGGAATGATCGGGTTGAGTTAACATCTTACCAACTCAAGGATGTGGCTCATATTTGGTATACTCAGTGGAAAGAGAACAGGGGTACAAACGCTGCTCCTATCACTTGGGATTACTTTAGCGAGACCTTTCTGGACAGGTTTTTCCCTAGAGAGTTAAGAGAGGCAAAAGCTCAGGAATTTATGAACTTAAGGCAAGGTAACATGACAGTCCAAGAGTATGGGCACAAGTTTACCCAACTCTCCAGGTATGATCTTCACATGGTTGTTGATTTCAAGGCCCAAATGAATAAGTT